CCATGACCAAATGGGATTCATCCCAGGGATGCAAGCCTGGTACAATATTCGCAAATCAATAAATGTGATACACCACATAAACAAAATGAAGAATAAAAACCACATGATCATATCAATAGATGCCGAAAAAGCCTTCGACAAAATCCAGTATCCATTTCTGATAAAAACGCTCAGCAATCTGGGAATAGAGGGATCATATCTCGACATAATAAAGGCTATATATGAAAGACCTACAGCTAACATCACGCTCAATGGGCAGAAACTAAAAACATTTCCCTTAAGAACAAGAACAAGACAGGCATGTCCACTTTCGCCACTCTTGTTTAACACAGTACTGGAAGTCTTAGCCACAGCAATCACACATGAAGAAAAAATAAAAGGAATCCAAATTGGAAAGGAGGAAGTGAAACTGTCATTATCTGCAGATGACATGATATTATACATAGGAAACCCTAAAGACTCCATCAAAAATCTAGTAGACTTAATACATGAATCTGGCAAAGTAGCAGGATACAAAATTAACGTCAAGAAATCGACGGCGTTCTTATACACCAATGATGAACTCACAGAAAAAGAAACTGAAAAAACATTCGCATTTACCATTGCAGCAAAAAAATTAAAATACCTAGGAATAAACTTAACCAAAGAAGTAAAGGACCTATTTGCAGAAAACTACAGGACATTGAAAAAAGAAATAGAGGAAGATATAAAAAAGTGGAAGCACATACCTTGTTCATGGATTGGAAGAATTAACATCATTAAAATGTCCATATTACCCAAAGCAATCTATAGATTCAATGCAATCCCCATCAAGATACCAACGACATATTTCACAGAACTAGAACAAATACTTCAAAAGTTCATATGGAACCAAAAAAGACCCTGAATAGCAACAGCAATCTTGAAAAAGAAGGACAAAGCAGGTGGGATCACAATACCAGATATCAGGTTATACTACAAAGTGACTTTAATCAAACCAGCCTCGTACTGGCACAAGAATAGGCATATAGACCAGTGGAACAGAATAGAGAACCCAGAAACAAACCCAAGGCAATATGCTCAATTAATATTTGACAAAGGGGGCAAGAGCATACAATGGAGTAAAGACAGCCTCTTTAATAAATGGTGCTGGGAAAATTGGACAGCCACATGCAAAAAAATGAAACTAGACCATCAACTTACACCATACACAAAATAAACTCAAAATGGATAAAAGACTTAAATGTGACTCATGAATCCATAAAAATCCTAGAAGAAACTGTAGGCAACAAAATTTCAGACATCATACGCAGCAGAATTTTCACTGATACATCCCCTAGGGCAACAGAAACAAAGAAAATGAACACATGGGACTACATCAAACTCAAAAGCTTCTGCACAGCAAAAGATACAATCATCAAAATGGAAAGGCAACCCACTGTATGGGAGAGCAAATTGCCAATGATATATATATCAGATAAGGGGTTAATTTCCAATATATATAGAGTGCTCATACAACTCAACAAAAGGAAGACAAAGAACCCAATTAAAAAATGGGCAGAGTAACTAAATAGACACCTCTCCAAACAGGACATACAAATGGCTAAGAGACATATAAAGAAATGCTCAGCATCATTAATCATCAGAGAGATGCAAATTAAAACAACAATGAGGTGCCCTGGCCAGTTTGGCTCAGTGGTTAGAGCATCAACCTGCGGTCCAGAGAGACCCGGGTTCGGTTCCTGCTAAGGGCATGTACCTCAGTTGCAGTTTGTCCCTGGCCCTGGTTGGGTCGTGTGGGTGGCAACCACTTGATGTGTCCCTTTCACATCAATGTCTCTCTCTCTCTCTCCCTCCCACTCTATCTGAACAACAAAAACAAAAAACAACAACAATGAGGTATCACCTCACACTTGTCAGAATGGCCGCCATCAACAAATCATCAAACAAGCGTTGACAAGTGTGTGGAGAAAAGGGGACTCTAGTACACTGCTGGTGGGAATGCAGACTGGTGTAGCCACTATGGAAAACAATATGGTGTTACCTCAAAAAATTAAAAATTGAACTGCCATTTGACCCAGTAATCCCACTTCTTAGGAATATACCCCAAGAAGCCTGAAACACCAGTCAGAAAGAATATATGTACCCCCATGTTCATAGCAGCACTATTTACAATATCTAAGATCTGGAAACAGCCCAAATGTCCATCAGTAGATGAATGGATAAAAAAGCTGTGGTACATATACTCAATGGAGTATTATACAGCTGTAAGAAAGAAAGATCTCTTATCCTTTGAGACGACATGGAGGGACCTGGAAAGTGTCATCCTAAGCGAAACAAGCCAAACAGAGAAAGACAAGTAGCATATGATCTCACTATTTGTGGAATATAATGAACATAACAGTCTGAGGAATGGGGTAGTCCCAGAGACGTGGAAGTGGGGTACAGACTGACAATCCCCAGGAGAGGGGGTGGGGGGGGAGATAAACCACAGAACTTATATGCATGCATGCATGAACCATGGACATGGACAACAAAGCTGGGGACAGGGTGGGGAGGGGGGAATCAGTGGGGGAAAAAGGAGAAACATCTATAACAAAAATAAATTAATAAATCAAATCAAATCAAATAAATAAATAAATAAATAAAAGACCCTATGGCAACAAAAGAGGGCATGCTCCAGGAACTGGCTGCGGGGGCCCGTGTGGCTGGACTCAGAGCCTGGAGAGCAAGGCAGTGAGGCTGGAGGCGCTGTAGCACACGACAGTAAATTTCTGTAATGGCATCAGGAAACTGTTAGCGGTGGTTATCTCCAGCGAGTGGGACTTTTACTCTTCACCTTATTCCTGCCTATACTGTTAAAATGTATCAACAACCTCATTAATTTTATTCAAGCCTACTTTTTCAAAATTACCCACACAAGTGAAAAGAAAAAAAAATTACCCACACAAGATTTTAAAAATAGAGAGAAGCTGCACCTTTATCATTACCAAAAAAAAGCACATTTAGAAAACTGGCACAATAATTAAATTAGCTCACTTAAATAGACAATTCTCATTCTTAAAGAGGTTAGGATTAAAGTGGTACCTCTGTACATTGTTGACAGTGGTATAAACTGGTAAAACTTTTGGGAAGCAATTTCATAAAACATTTTTAAAATAATAAAAATATTGTAAACCTTTGTCCCACTCCTGAGAATTTATCCTAGGACAAAAGTCCAAATGAAATAAAAAGCCCTATCTCTATACATGATGTCACAATACCTCCCATGGCTGCTGCACATCCCCCCCCACACACAAAAAATCATGGCTCTTGCCCTGGCCAGTGTGGCTTAGCGGTTAGAGCATCAGCCCAAGGACCAAAGGGTCTCGGGTTCAATTCCCGGTCAAGGGCAAGTATTTGGGTTGCACGTTTCATCCCTGACCCTGATTGGGGTCATGTGGGAGGCAACCAATCAATATATCTCTCTCACATTGATGTTTCTCTCTCTCCCTTCCTCCCTTCCACTCTCTCTAAAAAAACCAAAGGAAAAATATCCTTGGGTGAGGATTAACAAACAAACGAAAACATGCCTCTTGACAACAGGATTAAGTAGTTACTTAATAAAGCAACTAAATGGTTAATTTATCTTATGGTAATTTAGTTTGATGCTATTATCATATAAATATTAAAACCATAACTGTGGCCCTGGCTGGGTGGCTCAGATGGAGTATTGTCCCACACACCAAAAAGGATGTGGGTTCAATTCCCAATCAGGGCACATACGTAGGTAGTGGATTCAGTCCTAGTGAGGGGTGTGTACAGGAGGCAACGGATCGATGTTTCTCTCTCACATCGATGTTTCTTTCTCTCTCTTCCCCCACTTTCACTCTCTCTCTAAAATCAATTAAAAAAAACATATCCTGCCCTGGCCAGTTTGGCTCAGCAGTTAGAGCGTCGGCCTACAGTCCAGAGAAACCCGGGTTTGGTTCCTGCTAAGGGCACATACCTCAGTTGCAGTTTGTCCCCAGCCCTGGTTGGGTCGTGTAGGTGGCAACCACTCGATGTGCCCCTTTCATATCGATGTTTCTCTCTCTCTCTCTCCCTTCCACTCTATCTGAACAAAAAATGGAAAAATGTCCTCGGGTGAGGATAAAAACAAAAACAAAAACATATCCTCAGGTGAGGATTAAAAAAATAAACGTAAATGAGAAAGTTGAAAAAATGTTTTATATAAATTTAAATAATAAAACAAGTACATAAATTCACACCTGTGCTATCATTACAATATAAAAAATGTACTCATATAAACAAAGAGTAGAAGAAAACATGAAAGAATGAACGAGGAGGATTTGGTGATGATAAGATAACTGAGGATTTATGCTCTGGCCAGTCTGGCTTAGTGGTTAGAGCAAAGACCAAAGGGTCACTGGTTCAATTCCCAATCAAGGGGCATGTACCTGGGTTGCAGGTTTCCCTGGCCCCAGCCAGGGTCATGTGAGAAGCAACCAACTGATGTGTCTCTCTCACATCCATGTTTCTCTCTCTCTCTCCCTCTTTCCCCTTCAGTTTAACTAAAAAATAATGGAAAAATATCCTCAGGTAAGGATGAACAACAACAACAACAAAAAGAATTACTGAGGATTTAAACAAGTTTTAAATCTTAAATTTAAAGGCCCTCCTTTCAGACAACTATCAAAAACAAAAAGATTAAATATACAAGGTGATAAACTTATCCCTCATTCCTTCCTCCCCTAATGATATTCTTCTGAAATCAGTTAAAACCAAGCTCCTTTTAGGTGGCATTTGTTTCTTCTTTACAAGACTCGGAACTCCTTTGTTGAAGAGTGGCTCCAGTCCTATATGATTCACTTCTATGGGAGCCAGGGGAAAAGGGAACAGGACAAGAGAAACAGGACAGTGTTCCCCAGGAAGCAATGAGAGAGGTAAGAGTCAAATTAAGAAAGATGGGTTCTAGCCTATGAGAACTCTGCAGCTCACAATGCCCTACTGCGCTATCCCAGAGGTGAAAGGTACAATACCTGTTTGCCCGTCCGCACCCCATCCACAAGAATAGACTTCTCCTTTATCCGTTAGGAACAGACTATGGTCCTGACCACAGGCGACCTATCAGATAGACAGAGGTGAGGTTGATGAGAAGATATCCTTAGAAACCGAGGGTCCTAGTTAATGGACCCAAAACCCAGTAGCATCCCCTACTGTTCCTGAGCACCAAGCAGGCTAGGTCCAGCCAGGCAGGCTGCCCACAATGCCTCCACCTCTTCTTCATTCTCAACGCTCTGCAGCCTAGCAGTCTCCCACTCCATTGAAACTGATCTTGCTAGAGTAAAGTGCTAGGTGTTTTAAGGAACAAACCTAAAGGCTCCTCCATCACCTCCACACCTGAGGAACCATTCCCTCCTCCAAGTCTTTCTCTTCATTATTCCTCTTCTGCCTCTCTCAGCCTCTACTTCCTACCCTTCAGTGTTGGAATCCTCCAAGGTTCTATCCTCTGCCCTCTTCTGTCTTCAGTCTTCACACTTCCATGGGAGACTACATCCATTCCCAAGGCTTTCACTGTCACCTCCACACTGTTATCTCTAGTCCCAACAAATCTACTGTGTTCGAATCTATTTTCCTAACTGCCTAATGAACACTTATTATGTCAGGCATTGTGCTAAGTCAATAAACAAGACCACCTAGTAAGAAAGTGAATCAGTCAGGCCAGTGTGGCTAAGTGGACTGAGCATCATCCCATGGACTGAGAGGTCCCAGTTCGATTCCCAGTCAAGGCACATGCCTGGGTTGTGGGCTCGATCCCTGGTAGGGGGCGTGCAGGAGGTGGCTAATGGATGTTTCCATCTCACACTGGTGTTTCTATCTCTCTCTCCTTTCCTCTCTCTCTAAAAAGTCAATAAAAACATATTTTAAAAAAAGAAAGAAACTGACTCTCAGAGAAGTTTGGTAACTCGCCCAAAGTCACCCAGTTAATATGTGGAGAAGCGGGGAGTTAAACTTGCATCCATGTGACTTTGAAGCCTATGCAAGAAGCACTACATTCTACTGCAAATTCACTCTTCCACTCCTCCTCACTTCCCTCTCCCAGCCAACCCAAGCCTGCTCCTCCTCCAGTACGTCCCTATCTGGGTTGAGAACATCAGCAGCCAAGTCATTTGCCTATGGAGTCATGTTTGACTCCCTCTAGCTCACTTCCTGCCCAGCTAATCAAGCCCCAAATCCAGTCAATTCTCCTTACATGTATCCCCACCTGTCCTTTCTCCCCATGGCTTCCCAAGTGGCCTTCATCCCTTCCTTCCCCAACTTCCTACTCCATACCATGGCCAAAGTTATCTTTCTAAATAGATCATGATTTGGCTGTCACTCACCCTGCTTAGAACCTTTGATAGGCTCCAACTGTCAAGACGAGGAAGTCTAAACTCCTTAGCAAGGCATGTAAGACCATGCCTTGACCACTCTGAACCTATCTTCTAGGCTACCCCACACCACTGCCCCATAAGCATATCAAACTCCAGCCACACTGCACGTCCTCAGCAGGCACAGCCTCCAGCTGCTCCCTCTCCTCTGCCAGGAAACTTTTCCTCCCACCCTTCCCCAGTCTACCTGGTCAATTCCTCTGCCGTCTCCCCCACAATGCCTTTTCTCCCTTCCATCCCACCCCTGCTAGACTTAACCATTCCCCTTCTGGTATTTGTATAGCAAGTTTTATATACATTCACTTATTTAGGTATTTATTATAAGTACCAACAATGTGCCAGGCACTGCACCAGAAATGGGAATAAAATAATAAGCAAGATAAAGCCGGGCTAGAACATAAACAGTGCTCTGATAACAGCTAGTTTTTTTAACCTATATCTCCCACTACAGTGTTATCCCCCAAACTGTTTTAAGCTTTGTACCCTGGAGATCTACTGCAAATTCTGGCCTATAGTAAGCAGGCAATAATTGTCACTAAAATCATTTATTAATTCAGAAAATTCCCCCTTTCAAGAGTGCCCCAGGGAGCAGATGAGTGGCTTTCAGCCCATGCCTCTTACCTGGACTACCTGTCCATCGAAGTCCTGCATTCTATGGACTTTGTGACTTTCACTACACCAGGAGCAATTTGGGAAGAAGCAAGAGATATAGCCATGGTAAGCACTGTGGGGTTCTGGCCCCTCCCCTGTCACCCTTAACTGTGGCCCCCACATACATAGTAACTGTTAGGGAAACTCTCAAGGTCAAATATAAGGCAGAATTAGGCCAAGGTGTGAAAGTAAAACAAAACAAACACAATCCTTTGGTGAGTTTCATATGCTGCCAGAGTTGAGACTAGCAGTATTTGTAAGTAAAACAAAACAAACACAATCCTTTGGTGAGTTTCATATGCTGCCAGAGTTGAGACTAGCAGTATTTAGAACCACCAGCACAATGCAATGAACTAGGGGGAAAACTTCTTTTAAAGAATAAATGAATTAGTCAATTTGGTTAAAAATACACAACTAATTCAAAGAACTGCACACATCACAATCAATGCTCATGCGCCCTCCCCTCCCACCAGACTAATGCATGGGGCTCAGCCTGCAATGGAACGATCCTCTCTACAACTTCCGGTGAGTTCTCATGCTCCTCTCACACAGTGGGAACCCTGCTTACTGCTCTGTGGGTCTATCACTCAAGAAACATTTAATGCTTAACACAATTGCAGGGAGGGGCAGTTCTTTCAGTAACTTACCTGTAAATTTCATTTTCGACCACTTTTCTTCCACATTGCCCATAAGAATTGTTTCCCATGCTGAAGACTAAAAAATAACACCCCCAATTAAATCAGTTCTTCAGGTTCCTGGAATCCTATAATGTCAGGACTGGAAGGGGGTCTCAAAAGTGGTCCTAGTCCAACCACTCACCCTAGCTGCCATTTGGTTTCCTTCTCCAACACCCACCACAACCTGTGCAGGCAGAGCCATGGGCATGTGGGGCCCAGACCTGCCACATCAGTGAGTGCCACCTTCACTGATTCTTCCACTCTCCCTCCGGGCCCTAGTTCCACCTCTCAGAAATCCCACCTCACACAAAGTAAGCACCTCCTAGGAAAGGCCTCAGCAGCCCATTTCCTGAACCTATCACTAAATTGTCCTTGAAGCAATAATCCCGCTGGAATAAGTTCCTAACACTACCTTCACATTGTCCTACAAAGCACACTTAGCCATAGCCAGAAAATGAAATTTGAAAAATTCAGTCAAGCTGACCTTTCCCTAGAAACCACTCTTCTGGAGCGGATTGGGGGGTGGGGGTTACCCAGAAGCCCGGACTCTGAAAGCCCCCACCACTGGGAAGAAGTGTTAGCAGACAGGCTTCTTTAGGAACAATGGATAAAGCCATCTGCACATGCAGCCCGGCTCAGTGACTCTATGCAAAGAGCGCAGGAGCCTTGCTAAGGCTGCCTGGTGTGTGCTGTCACACTTACAGACAACCTGAGATTTTCCAAGAACCAAAGAGAACAGAGAGCAGAAAAGATTTAACAAGGTCTGCCCAATACAGCTCTCTTGAGCATCCTACTGATTTGCTCAGGAAATGCTATCAGCTTCACTAAATAGATGTGGTTCCATCAAATGAGCCACTTTAGGCCCAACAGCAAGAAAGCAGTTCCCCAACTCCCCCCTCAGTCTTCACCTCCTTCGCCATCTGTGAGAACAAGAGAGTGGGCTCTGCCGCAAGAGACCTGTAGCACCCGTGTCTCCTGAGGTCTGTCCAGAGGCAGTGGAACCGGCGAGGGCTCCAACACATACTCGTATCCCCTCACTGAAACAAAAACAATTGGGTTCATCACACTGATTGAGAGTCATAGCGCTTCTAACATTAGAAAGCATACTGTCGAACTGCCACATTTTTACTCAGATACAGGAATGACTGCTCAAGGCACATAGGCTAGCAGCAAAGCCAGGACTAGAGCCCGGGTCCCCAGCTCCCGGGTCCAACCACTGTACCACATTGCCTCCGTTACACACTGGGTTACTGAAAACCATACTAGTCTTATTTTAAAATCTCTTCACATGTCATTTAATACCATTTGAATTTTTAAGGAAAGTAAAAACATTTTTCCTGGAATACCCACTAAAACTTCTCAGTAAAGTGAACAACAACAAATATTATTATATTAAAATGAAGCAAAAAGACTTTCATCAGCCCTGGCCAGTTTGGCTCAGCAGTAGAGTGTCAGCCCATGGACCAGAGAGTCCTGGGTTCAGTTCCCACTAAGGGCATGTACATTGGCTGCAGTTTGTCCCCGGCCCTGGTTGGGTCGTGTGGGTGGCAGCCAGTCAATGTGTCCCTTTCATGTCGATGTTTCTCTCTCCCTCTCTTTCTCTCTCTCCCTCCCGCTCTGTCTGAATAAAAAATGGAGAAATGTCCTCGGGTGAGGATTTAAAAAAAAGAATTCCTCTTATAGGTTTTAAATGGTGAGCTTCTGAATATTTATAATGTAGGCTGAAGTTTAGGAGAAAATCTGCAAATGTACCAGTCTTCAACCTACACCCCACTAAATAACCCCTCTATTTTCTCCTTTGAATCATGTTTAAAAAGATTTTGATTACCATTTATTTAAATGGCATTATTACTACTGTAATAATACACTTGCCCATTTGTGGTTTTTTTAATCCTCATCCGAGGACATTTTTCTATTTTTGTTCAGATAGAGTGGGAAGGAGAAAGAGGGGAAGAGAGAGAGAGAGAGAAACACCGACGTGAAAGGGACACATCGAGTGGCCATTCCCACACAACCCCAACCAGACCAGGGACAAACTGCAGCCAAGGTACGTGACCCTATCAGGAACTGAACCTGGGTACCTCTGGACCGCGGGCCGACGTTCTAACTGCTGAGCCAAACTGGCCAGGGCCATTTGTTTCTTTAGTGACTAAATTTCAGACAGAACTTTTGATCAGCATGGAATAACTGCCTTATCACAATAAGATTATATGATTCTAGGCAAAAATCAAAGAATCTAGACAATGTTGTTAGCTTATACAACCCTATTAGCTGAAAAGATACAGTACTTTAGAATATAGTCAGACCTCATTTATCACGATAGTTCCAGACTCTACCACGATAAATGAATTTCCATGAAGTAGGATTCTTAATTTATATACAGTCATCCCTCGTGGCGAAGGATGACAATACTTAAAAGTGACTCACATCCACCACTATCTGCATAGACCCCTAAGGGCCTGGAAGCTGTATATAACATAACATTTAAAGGGAATTTGGCTTCCCAGCTGGTGTGGCTCAGTGGTTGAGCGCCAGCCCATGCACCAAGAGGTTGCTGGTTTGATTCCTAGTCAGGGAACATGCCCAGGTTGTGGGCCAAATCCCCAGTGGGGGGCATGCAAGAGCGGCCATTTGATGTTCTCTCTCATCTCTCTGTCCCTCTCCCTTCCATTCTCTCTAAAAATCAATAAAGAAAAAAATTATAAAAAAATAAAGAGAATCTGGCTCTAGATCCAACTACCAATTGACAGGAAATATAAAGAATCATGTTAGCCCTGGCCAGTTTGGCTCAGCAGTTAGAGCATCAGCCCGCAGACCAAAGAGTCACGGATTTGATTCCAGTCAAGGGCGTGTACCTCAGTTGTGGTTCATCTCCAGCCCTGGTCGGGTCATGCAGGAGGCAACCAGTAGATATGGCTCTACCACATCGATGTCTGTCTCTCTGTCTCTCTCTCTCTCTCTCTCCCCCCCCTCCCCCTCCCCCTCTATCTGATGATAAATAGAAAAATATCCTCGGGTGAGTAATAAAAAAGAAAAAGATTAAAACAGACTTTAAAGACTTCTAAAAGCCTTATCAACAATAGCAATGTCAGGATATTATCTGGATCTTGATTCAAAAAAATTTTTAAAAATAAAATAAAAATTTAATGATATCTGTGAGACAACCAGCAATTTTAACACTGACCAGATATTTGATGATATTAAGAGATTATATTGTTAATTATTTTTTTTAATATACTCCTTTTTTTTTAATCCTCACCTGAGGATGTTTTAGAGAAAGGAAGGGAGGGAGGGAGGGAGAGGTAGAGAGAGAGAGAGGGAGAGAAATAGCAATGTGAGAAACATCAATCAGTTGCCTCCAGACTGGGGATCGAACCTACAACTTAGGTATATGCCCTGACCAGGAATCGAACCCACAACCTATTGGTGAGCCACACTGGCCAAAGCTATTGTTATTATTTTTAGGTGTGATAATGTTATATTTACTTTCTTTTAAAGAGTCCTTACTGCCCTGCCCGGTTTGGCTCAGCGGTTATAGAGTCAGCTTGTGGTCCGGAGAGACTTGGGTTCAGTTCCCACTAAGGGCACGTACCTCGGTTGCAGTTTGTCCCTGGCCCTGGTTGGGTCGTGTGGGTGGCAACCACTCGATGTGTCCCTTTTACGTCGATGTTTCTCTCTCTCTCTCTCCCTCCCACTCTATCTGAACAAAATATCGAAAAAATGTCCTCAGGTGAGGATAAAACATAAAATAAAATAAAGAGTCCTTACTTTTTTAGATATGTACGGAAATATTTATGAATGAAATCAATACTGTTAGGATTTGCTTCAAATGTACTGAGAAGGTGGGGGAAATGAATAAAACAAGACTGGCATGAGTTGATGACTATTGAAGCTGGTGACAGCACATGACGCCTTACACTATTCTGTCCATTTCTGCATATATCTAAAATTGTTCCTAATAAATGGTATAAAAAATGTGATGTGGCATTTTATAACTAATAAGAATTCAATACTAACTTATAAAAGAATTCTGACATAAAATTAAGTGAAAAAAGGCAGAAAATAAACATATGTTGTGATGAAAATAAAATATATATGTATATGAATGAGAAAACAGGAAAAAATGAAAAGTCTCTTAGTATGTATATCTAGATAATCTCTCCTTTAGTTTAAAAAATGTTTCTTGTCCTGGCCAATATGGCTCAGGTTCGATTTGGGTCAAGGGCACGTACCTCAATTTCAGTTCAATCCCCTACCTCGTCTGAGTCATGTGGGAAGCAACTAGTTGATGTGTCTCTCTCACATCAATGTTTTTCTTTCCCTCCCTCCCACTCTATCTGAAAATAAATAGAAAAATATCCTTGGGTGAGGATTTAAAAGAAAAAAATGTTTCCTTTGTTCTTAAAATACTGTTTGGCTAATGTGTACTTTTTAAAATGTCATTATAGCCTGGCTGGTGTGGCTCAGAGGACTGAACATCGTCCCATGAACTGGGAGGCCCCGGTTCAATTCCCGGTCAGGGCACATGCCCGGATTGTGGGCTCGATCCCCAATGGGGGGCATGCATGAGGTGGCTGATTGATGTATCTCTCTCACATCAATGTTTCTCTCTCTCTCTCTCTCTCTCTCTCTCTCTCTCTCTCCCTTCCTCTTTCTCTAAAAAAAAAAAAAAAAAAAAAAAATCAACCCTGGCTAGTTTGGCTCTGGGCTAGCTTAGCAGTTGGAGCGTCATCCTGCAGACCAAAGAGTCCCAGGTTACAGTTCATCCCCAGCACCGGTTGGGGTCATGTAGGTGACAACCAATTGATGTTTCTCTGTCTCTCTCCCTTCCACTCTGTCTGAAAATAAATGTAAGAATATCCTCGGGTGAGGATTAAATCAATAAAAAGACACTTAAAAATATATATATTAAAAAAATAAAAATGTCATCATACCTAATTTCTAACATTTTTATAAGCCAACTTTCAAGTAACTGGAATAAAACCTCTATCTTAAGAACTGCACTGACTTTTTCCCCCAGACCATATCTTAGGTACTGTAGAGTACTGCAGGCTATCTCCAAGCTAGGAAAAATAGGTCATCTCTTTGGGACCAAACAGGAACATCTTTACTTAACAACTTGCCTTTTTGACTAAAGGTTCAATATTATTTTTATTTATTTATTTTTAATCCTCCCCCGAGGATATTTTTCCATTGCTTTCTAGATAGAGTGGAAGGAAGAAAGGAAGCAAGAGAGAGAGAAACATAGATGTGAGAGAGAAACACATTGATTGGTTGCCTCCCACATGACCCCCACCAGCGCCAGGGATCAAATCTACAATCCAGGTATGTGCCCTTGACCTGGAATTGAACCAGTGACCCTTCAGTCCACAGGCCAACACTCTAACCACTGAGCCAGACTGGCCACGGAAAGGTTCAATATTATTACCAAAGAGGCTGAAAAACAATCCAGTCCAGATGGTTTCAAACAACATCCCTTTAAGACTGCATCTATTTTGCTGTTATACTTTGGTTTATGTAATGATACTCATGACAATCCAAAGGGAGTTCTCAGACCAATCACAGCAGAAAAAGCCAAGGTGAGAATACTTACTTTTATCTTTCCGGCTCCTGTGAAATCCAAGCTGAGAATCTTTGTTGAGTCCCATACCCCAGACTTTTGTAACATCCTTGGTTTTAGAGGACAGCAATGTGAACCCATAGCCACAAGCAGCTGATGAAATCTGAAAAAGAGTTTCCATAAGACATTAACTGAATTATGATATCAAGCTATTTTCGGCAGTTTATGACAGGTTATTTATCCAACCTAAGAACACATCCTATTAATATAGCAACTAACATTTATTCACCATTTACTATGTGTTAAGTGTTTGATATGTATTAACTCTCATTTAATCTTTACAATCACCCTATGAACTAGTTATAATCATTATTCCCACTCGCCCATAGTAGTTAAGTTGAAGACTGCCTCAGTTTAAATCTTGGCTCTACCCTTTACTAGCTGTGTGACCTGAGAAAGATTACTTAACCCTTCTATATCTGTTTCCCTCTCTGTAAAAGAGACAATAAGTATCTCTCTCATTGGGTTGTTGTGAGGACTAAATTAGTTAGTACAGCTAAATCCCTTACAGTAAATAGGATCTGATTTAATGTAGTTATTATTATTATTGGTACTACTAGTAGTAATATTTGATAGATGAGAAAATCAAGTGTGAACCCTGAGTGGGGGGAGACACCTACTAAGAAGGGGTCCTGGATGCTAACCGGACTCAAATATTAAAACACAGAGCCCAGCAGCCATTTCTGCACAGAGGGCTCTCACACAAACTGAACTTCACAGAGAAGCCTGAACTGAACTGCCTGCCTCTGCACTGACCTTCGGGCCTGCACTGTGTTTCTACTAACTGAACTAGCCCTTATAAAAATTTCCTGTATAGCCCTGGCCAGTTTGGCTCAGCGGTTAGAGCGTCGGCTTGCGGTCCGGAGAGACCCGGGTTCGGTTCCCGCTAAGGGCACGTACTTCGGCTACAGTTTGTCCCCGGCCCTGGTTGGTCGTGCGGGTGGCAGCCACTCGATGTGTCCCTTCACTCGATGTTCTCTCTCTCTCTCCCTTCCTCTCTCTCCCTCCCACTCTATCTGTACAAAAAATGGAAAAATATCCTCGGGTGAGGATAAAAAAAAAAAAAATTTCCTGTATATAATGAACAAAACAAGCTGATGAACAAAATAGACCCAGAGAAAAAGAAGTAGGGTACAGACTGACAAAACTCAGAAGAGGGGGAAGTAAGGAGGGGGAATAACCAAAGAACTTATATGCATACATGCATAACCATGGACAACAATGTCAGAGGGGGGGGTGGGGCTGGGAGGAGGGTGTCAATGGGGGAAAAAAGGAGAAACATCTGTAACAAAAATAAATAAATAAATAGTGTGAAAAAAATATTTCCTGTAATCCTATTTCAACCAATAAAAACGAGGCTTCCCCTATCCAATCAAAGCTGCACAGCTCTGACCAATCAGAACAGCTCTATTCTGATCAATCAGGATAGTGCCTTTTGGGCCAAACTGGGAGGGTTTGGAACCCTAATTTGTATGAGGATAGACCAATCCAAGATCAGGGGCAGGGACTCCTGCCTTTCCATATAAGTCAACTCCCTTCTGGCTCAGAGAGCACATTTTCCACTGAAGACTGAGCTGAAACACTGAAGATGTCCTCCCACAGCAGAGCAGAGCAGACCAGTGCACAGTGGAGCTGAACAAAGTACACCATTGCAGAACAATGCACAGCAGAGCTGCTTAGCTGAAAAAGGCCCTGGCCTTAGGGCAGCCTGGCCCCAGGGCAGCCTCACAGTCATGCAGTATCACTGTTTGCAGTGAATAAGGGATCCTCACTGCACCCCAAACTGAGGACTCAAGTTGGTATTGAATTGGCACCAACAATAATCAGTTGACACAAGGTTCCTTTTAGCACCAATTAAAGGTTAAGTAACTTGCCTAAATATAGTCACAGAACTAATAAGCGGAAGCTGATTCCAGAATGCAAATAATATACCATCAAAAAGTCCAGTTTCAATGAAACAGTATAAGACATGCAAAGAAACAAAAAAGTGTGACTTATACTGGGGGGGCATAACTCACACTAAGTGAACCCAGATGTCAAATTTGTCAAAGACATTAATGAACTATCATTCAATAAAATTTTTTAAACTGGCCCTGGCCGGTTTGGCTCAGCGGTTAGAGCGTCGGCCTGCGGTCCGGAGAGACCCGGGTTCGGTTCCCGCTAAGGGCACATACCTTGGTTGCAGTTTGTCCCCAGCCCTGGTTGGGTCGTGTGGGTGGCAACCACTCAATGTGTCTCTTTCACGTCGATGTTTCTCTCTCTTTCTCTCCCTCTCACTCTATCTGAACAAAATATCGAAAAATGTCCTCGGGTGAGGATAAAAAAAAAAAAAAATTTTTAAACTGTGTTTAAAGAATTAAAGGAAAATATGATGACAGTGACTCAATAAATATGGAAGCTGAGTAGAGAATTAACCACCTAACAGAAAATTCTAGAGTAGTAAAGTAGAATAACCAAAAGAAAAAATTCACTATATAGGTTCAACAGCAGATTTAAAATGGCAGAAGAAAGTCCAGCCAGTGTGGCTCAGTGGTTGAGCATCGACCCATGGACCAAGAGGTCACTAGTTCAATTCCTGGTCAGGCCATATGCCTGGGTTGCAGGCTCGATCCCCGGGGGGGAGGGAGGGCATACAGGAGGCAACTGATGGAAGCGTCTCTCTTATCCATGTTTCTATCTCTCTTTCCCTCTCTCTTCCTCTACCTCTAAAAATCAATAAAAATATATATATTTTTAAATGGCAGAAGAGCCCTGGCCGGTTTGGCTCAGCAGTTAGAGCGATGGCCTGTGGTCCGGAGAGACCCGGGTTCAGTTCCCGCTAAGGGCATGTACCTCGGTTGCAGTTTGTCCCCGGCCCTGGTTGGGTCGTGCGGGTGGGAGCCACTCAATGTGTCCCTTTCACATCGATGTCTCTCTCTCTCTCTCTCTCCCTCCCTCCCTCCCTCCCTGTCTATGTGAACAAAAAATGGAAAAATGTCCTTGGGTGAGGATTAAATAAATAAATAAATAAAGACTTTAAAAAAAAAAAAAAAGGCAGAAGAGTAAGTTAACTTGAAGAAATAGCAACAGAAATGATTCATTCTAAAGAAAAAAAAGATTTAAAAAGAAAAAGAACAGCGCCTCAAAGACCTATAACAAAACAAACGTAACAACATTTATATAACTGGAGTCCCAGAGGAGCAAGAGAGAAAGAAAAAGGCAGGAAAAATACATATTTAAAGAATTAATGGCAGAGCCAAAAACATACAATGGAGAAAGGAAAATCTATTTAATAAATGGTGCTGGGCCCTGGCCAGGTTGCTTACTGGTTGGAACACCGCCCTGTACAGCAAAAGGTTGCATGTTCAATTCCCAATCAGGGCACATACTGAGATTGCAGTTCAATCCCTGGTCAGGGCATATACAGGAGGCAACCAATCAATGTTTTTCTCTCTCTCTCTCTCAAAAACAATTTTTTTAAAAACCACATCCTTGAGCAAGGATTAAAAAAACAAATAATAAAAAAATAAATGGTGCTGGGAAAACTAGAAAACCACATGCAAAATAATGAAATTAGACTGCTACCTGACACCATGTACAAAATTAACTCAAAATGGATTAAAGTCATGAATATAAAATCCAAAACAATAAAATACATAGAAGAAAACACAGTTACTATATTTATGGACCTTGGTCTCAGGGGTTTTTCTGTGAACTTGACCCCAAAGGCATAGGAAGTAAAAGAAACCATCAGCAAAACTAAAAGGCAACCAACTGAATGGGAAAAGATATTTGCAAATGATACATTTAATAAGGGGCTAATATCCAAAATATATAAAATAACTCATATTATTCAAAAACAAACAATCCAATTAAAAAATGGGCAGAGGGCCCTGGCCGGTTTGGCTCAGCGGTTAGAGCATCAGCCTGCGGTCCGGAGAGACCCGGGTTCGGTTCCCGCTAAGGGCACGTACCTTGGTTGCAGTTTGTCCCCAGCCCTGGTTGGGTCGTGTGGGTGGCAACCACTCGATGTGTCACTTTCACGTTGATGTTTCTCTCTCTCTCTCCCCCTCTCACTCTATCTGAACAAAATATCGAAAAATGTCCTCAGGTGAGGATAAAAAAAAAAAAAAAAAAAATGGGCAGAGGACCTGAAGAGACACTTTCCCAAATAGCATATACATACGGAAAACAAATATATGAAGATGTCCAACATCATTAATTATAAATAAGGGAAATCAAAATCACAATGAGAGACTACTTTTACACCTGTTAGAATGGCAATTATCAATAGAACAAGAAATAACAACTGTTGGAAAGGATGTGGAGAAAAGGGAACCATCACACATAGCTAGTAGGAATGTAAACTGGTGCAGGCACTATGAAAAACAGTATGGAGGTTCCTCAAAAAGTTAAGAATAAAGCTTCCATATGCCATAGCAATCCTGTTCTGTATATCTACCTAAAACTTTGAAATATCTACTATTTGTAAAGCTATATGTACCCCTATGTTCACTGAAGCATTATTCACAATAGCAAAGACATGAAAATAACCTAAGTGTTCTCTGCAGAAGACTGAATTAAGATGTGGTACATATATACAAAGATGTTCCTCTCTCTCTCTTCCTCTCTCTCCCTCCCACTCTATCTGAACAAAAAATGGAAATATATTCTCGGGTGAGAATAAAAAAAAGAATAAACATTAGCATTTGAAAACAAAGAAAAAAATTAATGGCAGAAAATTTAGCAAATTTTATGCAAAACATAAATCTACAGATCAAACTTGCTCAATAAATCGCAGTTGAACTCTTGAAAGAGAAAATATAAAAGCATCAAAAGAAAATGAATTCATCAAGTACAAGGGAACAATATTAACAGCTAATTTCTCATCAAAAATGATAGGGACCAGAAATCAGCAGAATGACATATTCAAAGCACTGAAGGACAAAAACTGCCAACTAAGAATTCCATATCCAACAAAACTATCCTTAGAAAATAAAAATGAAATACAACCCGGCCGGTGTGCTCAGTGGTTGAGCGTCAACCCATACACCAAGAGGTTCCTGGTTGGATTCCCAGTCAGGGCACATGCCCAGGTTGTGGCCCAAATCCCTTGTGGGGGGG